AAGTTCAGCTCTTCTCTTGGGATGAGAAACATATGAGATTTTTGTTTTCTCTTCAGAAGTTAATGGAGGCTCAGGAGTTTCCAGAGGTTTTAAAAGAGATTTTAGGTCTGCATGAACCATATGGCTGACAGCTTTGTACTTTGTTACTACCTTTTATTTTCTGCAGTTAGCCCCATCTTTCCCTTATGCCTTCTTTCACGTTAGTTTATTTCTTGGATGATTAGTAACAATTTAAACATAAAGGAAGATGGTTAGAGCACTGGTAAAATTGCAGTTTAGCGCTTACTGGTTTAGCGAAATAAATAGATGAGTCCCAAGCCTTTTTTATGCACTGTGTTGTGGACTTGCACCAAGAAAAAGAAAAAATTCATTGCTCTCACAATAACACTTGTAAAATTTGAATCAAGTTTTGTTTAGCATAATGAACAGCTTGCTTAATCAAAGTTGTCTCAGTCAAGTCCTCCTCACTGAGTGTTACAGGTGTCCTCTGGAGCAGAAAATCATAGTATCAGTACATGCTGCTGGGAGGACACACAGTTGTATGAACCACTTTTATTTCACTGGGCACTGGATATTTTGAGGGAAGATCTGGTGACAACCTTGAATAATCAAACTCTCAGTGAAGAGTAATAAAGAACTGGTACCTCCTTATGAAAGCTGTCAGTATGCTAGAGGGACAGTTTCTCCAAGCCTTGAAGGAGCTTCCATTGCTCAAAACAGTGATCTTAGCATTGATTGCTAGCTGGTTCTTATCTAGTGAAATAGTTTCTCCTTTAGGTAATGTTATTTAAAAGTTTTTGTCAAAGTACCTTTCATAGCCTCTGGAGTTTTTGGATCTGCTTGACTTCAGCAAATCACCTTTGGACCTACAAAGACTGCTCATGTACTGGCTAGCAGTGTCCTCCAAGCAGTCACAAACCGTTAAGGGTCCTGGCTGATGATGCTGCATGTGTGCCCTGTTTTTTCTGTCACTGACCAAAAAGCTCTTCTGTCATCTCCAGCAGTTCTGGCTGATAATATCATTCCTTGATATTCCTTTGCCTTCAGGACAAAGCCGCACTTAGCAGTTGCCTGCTAATTCCCATGGCACTGTCATGCACGGTCCACTGTGTTAACCCCATTGCTCAGTGCAGGTATAAGACTCTCGAGGGCGTAGGGATGGCCACCAATCAATAGTATTTTCAGTAAATGATGATACACAGGCTCATGTCTTCACCTCTGCTTGTGCAGCATAAGCAGCTGAAAGGTTGATCTGACATCTAATGGAATTTTTCCAGTCAGGTATGATAATAACCTGGGAATGACCAGTGATAAAGATAGACTGGGCAAAATAACTGAAAAGGTGCTAGAAGCTATGCATTCCCCTAAGCTTGTAGATGTATAGTAATCACAGGAAACCCAAATTGGTGACTCTTCACGGTCAAAGCTGATTAACAGCAACATCTGGAAAATCAGTAGCAGACAGATAAACTTTCCCATTTCCATTTATCTCAGAGTAATTCTTCTCTTTCACATGCAGAGTTTGCTACTGTTATTCACTCCTTTGTCAGTTTATACATAAACTAAAGTTGCATGCTCTGCATGTCTTTAATTGATTTTTTAATTCTGGAACTGCTGTTAAGGTGTCTGTCTGCATGTTAAATGAGGCACTGTGCAAAAAGCAGATGACGCTAGTGTTTGAGAGCTTATATTTGTTGTTTGTAAACATCTGGGGAGACTGGAAGATACTGGCTTTCAAAGCCTTGTGAAACTGGCCTGTCTGAGCTCTGACACCACTTGCTGGCTAGGGTCAGTAGGATAGCTAATGCTAAAATCTCTTCTGTGTAATGAAGAAGAGGCTGCTGGCTGGAAGGCTGGCTGTAAGAGGTCTGAAGCACAAATTATTCTACGTTTGCTGACTTTTGGGGCAAGCTCCAAGGGCTTGTTATTCCTCTGGCTTTTTGGAAAAGAGCTGGAAAAACAGAGAACCCACATGTGGTTGTGTAGTTATTAGAGAACACTCTATTTTTGGTTTATAGAGGCTGTTTGACATTGCATTTCCATCGATTCAAATATCTAGCAGGGCACACAGACTCCATACACACTCTAAGTTTTCTTCTCCATTTATTTTGAATAAGTAGGTCTCTGCACCACTCCAAACACGATAGTTCTGGCTAGTCTTTAAATATCTCTGAGAGAAGTGTTAGTATACAGATCCTGTTGTTGCTACTTACGACTTCTACCCATTCAGCTCTGAGCTCCTGCTTGCAATATCATTTGTTTTTGAAGTGAGAAAAGCCCTTTCAGTTCTTCTGGGGCTTCTTTTTTTTTGTTTTGTTCTGTTTTTTTTTTTTTCCAGAAAGTGATTAGTAGTGAGTTTTCCCAGTCTGGGCTTTCCTTGTGTCATTTTAGTCAACAGTGAATGAAGATAACTTGAGTTGTGCTGTCATACTCCTACCACCTGCCGGATCTCAGTGCATCGTTCCTACCAACATTCTCTGAGAGAAGTGTTAGTATACAGATCCTGTTGTTGCTACTTACGACTTCTACCCATTCAGCTCTGAGCTCCTGCTTGCAATATCATTTGTTTTTGAAGTGAGAAAAGCCCTTTCAGTTCTTCTGGGGCTTCTTTTTTTTTGTTTTGTTCTGTTTTTTTTTTTTCCAGAAAGTGATTAGTAGTGAGTTTTCCCAGTCTGGGCTTTCCTTGTGTCATTTTAGTCAACAGTGAATGAAGATAACTTGAGTTGTGCTGTCATACTCCTACCACCTGCCGGATCTCAGTGCATCGTTCCTACCAACATCAAATTGCTTCTGCTCTCGCTTTCTCTGATTGCTCTCTTCTGACTGTTATAAAGATAGGAGCCCTAATCTCTGACCTTGGATTTTCTTTCCTTCACTCTGGGACTGTCTGTCCTCCTCCAGCTCTTTCCTTATAGTTAATGAGTCTCCTCATTCATTTAGTCTGTCTCTTTGCAAGTATTTTTAGACTGTGATCATCTCCCTTCAGTTGGCTATTTCTTAAACAAGATAAATGCTACTTCACACAGTCTTTTATCATATCTTCCCTCTGCCTTATTACTTGAGACTCTCTGTTTTTTAACTCTATATTCTCTGAAAATATCTAATGAAGAGCTTTTGCACGCAGCCTTTGAGGACTGCCTGACACTGTAGGTGTGAAGAGGAACACTACCCACTTATTTTTGAAAGGGTTTCTTAATATATGTAAGTACAGCCTTAGAAGGGCTAACTTCATAGTTGCATGCCTTAGTTTGTTCCATACTTTCACTGCAAGGACTTCTCAGGCCTTAAAGATGGCATTATTTCTTCAAGTAGCCATGCTTAAGATAGACAAGCCACTAAGTAAAATTGTCTTATGTCTGTGCAAGTTCTTAGGCAACAGGGAGCTTTTCCTTCATCTATTAACATTATCAGGGAAGAACTGATGCTCGTCTGATTTTTCCACAGCCCAGAGAAGCCCCAAATATTTTGTTTTTAAAAACGTTACAAGTAGTTAAACATTGTCACAAGAAATCATGTTTCAAAACACGTTCCTATTGCAGCTGTTCTTTAATAACATACAAATAGTAAGTAATGGCTCTCTAAGCACAGAAAATGGGAAGGTTTCATTGTTTCTCTTTGTAATATTTTAGAGTCATCAAATAGATCTAGCTGAGAATTTGTGACATTGCCACTGAGCTCAGCCTTCATTTACCAATTCCTAGCTAAGAGCAAAGCAGTTGCTGTGAGGAGGGTGCCTCCCCCTCCTCACAGGGGGGGAGTTTGGAGTTGTTAAGCCCTGTTACATTTTCTTCCCAAGGATTTTTGTAAGTGGATATACAGGTGTGACAGGGAATGGATGTCAGGGCAGCTGGATAATTAAAGAGCTGCTCACAGCTGTTCTGCAGAACCACTACTCTACTCCAGTCCACAAAGCTGGGAATGAGCAGAGTAATCAGCCGATATACAATGTTACTGTAATGTTACATTCTTACAGCTCTTTTCACCCCCAATCATCATAATTGGAAAGACTGTATACATGCTGAAGTCCCACCACTACCGCTGAAACGCAATACTTTGCTGCAGAGGAACTGTTTAGCTTGACGGACTTATGGTCGGGAACACAGGTATCCAACGGAAAGAATAATTGTAGGGAATTGTGCTGTGGTTACCCAAATCAGGACTCCCTCCATCCTGTGCTTTAGCAGGGACTGAGTCTTTGCCAGGAGGGCAGGTGACCGCATCCTTGGCAGAGGGACCAGGCACAATCCAGCACTGACGTGAAGACACAACAGGCTTCACAGACAGTTGTGCTGTGTGTGGACTGTCCTTGCAGAGCACCCCACCAAAACTCAGGGCTGGCCATGCTTTTCTCAGCACGAGGCACCTGATGAGCCTGAAGCTATGTGTCAGCAGGCTAGAAGTACCACAAACTGCCCGAAACTGCAGTCTCAGTCCAATGACAAAAGCAGAGGGCACGAATGTCAAAACATAATTTCTGCTGACATGACGAAGCTACTGGCTAAGGTGTTGGAGCCTATTGCCTCTAGAAAGATGTAAAAAAGAAGTTGGACCAACTAATCTGTGGAATAAGAATAATGCTGGGAATCCTTCCAAGGTGAGGTATATGGCATGAAGTGCTGGCTCAGGTTCCAATGACAAGATGACTGTCTGTTCACCTTGATGTCATCTTACCAATAAGGAATAATTGATTTCAAGATGCTGTTGTGGATGATGATAATAGCTTTAATTCTTCTGTAGCTTTCATTTGAGGCTCACATTGTAATTTAAAAATAGAAATTAGAGTGCCTGCAGGATGATTATTAGATGCATTTTTAGATTGGGAGTTAATGCAGAAAGGGTGGCATGACTTGTCCAAAATCATATAACGAATTATTTGGAAAACCAATAAACAAATCCTGACTTTTTCCTCCAACATGAATATATGTGCGCTGTAACAATTGTACTCACTTCCATGTACAAATTCAGCTAATGAACTGTTAAAAAGCACAGTACAGCTGGTGTAAAAAGTCAGAACACTTTTTATTGTTCACTGTTAGCATATTATACACAGAAACAGTGGTGCATTCGTATGAACACACACACACATAGTGTGGAAGAACTTATATACTATATGTTTTAAGTATCCAGCTGGGAGAGGGTCTCAGTATATTGCCATGATTACTCCACTCATCACAATAGACTTTGTTTGTTACTGATCCAAACGCGTACACAAGTATGAAGCTGTGAAGGACATATACAAAGCCTATAGGAATGAGTGCCTCTGCTCTGCCGTGTGAGAAACATGAGAATGAAACAGAGTGTGGTTTCAAAAAGCACTGAGAGCATTTTTTGAGGAAGAAAATTCGCTTTTCACTCTTTATCACCACACTTCCCAGACTATTAAAGAGAAGCAATGGCTTCCCACCCAGCCCATGGAAGCTGATGCAGTTTGCCAAAACACAGGCTTCTTGTTACAGCTGCTGGGGAGTCCAGTGCTATGATCCTGGCAGAGATGTCGTGGTATCCTTTCTTAAGGCACCTGGTAGTGTAGGATCTCAGCACTGATCTCATGGGCTGTTGCTGGAAACCAACGGACTCATTAGGCTGATTAATCCCTGTAGTAATTCCATTAACCTCCTTAATGGAGTTAGAACATGGATGAAAATACCTCTCTGCGGCAATGCGAGAAGGAATTGCCCTGGAGAGCCTATAAAGGTGGTGTGGCAGGGACGTCTGAGGTAAACATTTTTGGTTTTGTTTTTAGTGTGAAGTGTTCTGATCAGCTGGAAAACCTCCCTGTCTTCTGGGAGTCTCCACTCTTCATAGCACAAACAATGCAGGCGTCCTGTCTGGCAGGGTGATGCATCAGGGCTCACGCGCGCCAGCAGGGCTCTTGGCACCCTCCTCTCGGCTCCGTGCATGTGCACACTTCCCCCTCTCTCACTCAGCCTGCCATGACGTACAGCTTCTCAGATATAGCCTTTTCAGTCACCTTGGTGGTTTTCTTTCCTTGTGTCTCCGCATGATGATTTATCTGCTGGCTGCTCTCTGTCAGAAGTGCAGCTTTGCTGGGACTGTGTCACTGGGCAAAGGGCAGCTGAAACTAAGTAGCAGAGCTACAGTCCTCACTTATCAAGTGCAGAAATGGAGAAACTTTGGATTTCTCTTTGTTTTCTCCTCGATTTTCTAGCTTGTGGAGAGAAAGTCTATCCACCTTCCTAGCCATGTGCACAGCCTGCTCCTAGGGTAGCTCACTTACATTGCAGTTCTATCACTAAAGGCTTCTCAGTATCATAAAGTTGCTTTAGGTATGTAAGAGCCAAAGACACCCTACAAAACCCTCCCAAAGAACTCCCTGTTCTTACAGTCTACCACAACAGCCCAAGCTCTCTGAAAGCTCCTGCTGCAATTCATTAGGGAAGGTACAGGCTGGCTGATGGGAGCTGGGGGCCGGAGAAGTTGGGCAGGAAGCCATAGGAGGGGCTGACTGATTTTTCTGCTAGTTCAAAGACTGTTGCCATGTACACAGGTGCAGTGATGTGACTATTAAGCTGCAGTATCTCTTCATCTACATGGTGTGTGATCTCCTTGTTAATATGCTAAATTTATTCTGTTAGTTAGCCAGTCCTTTCCTCCCACAGAGGCTGCAATCCCGAGAGATGGACTAGTCCAACTCTTCAGAGATTCAGAGAGAGTGGGAGAGAACAGGGAAGGTGTTGTGTGTATGAGATGCACACGCACCCTCTGGGATTTTATTTCTCTTTCTGCCTATGGTAGTCATTTCCAACATTCAGCACAGGGATGAGAAGTCCTAGTAGCCACCTCTTCCCAAAGACCTCTTGCAGGTTCTCCCTCCAGGGTCGAGCTCTTACCACCATCCCTTTCCGCAGCTGGTACCGTGTCTGCCCCCGTAAGATCAGCAGCATCTGATGGCAGCAGAAGCCAGCACAGGCCAGGCCGATCCCAAGCCAAAGGTAGAGCATGAGGATGACAAACATCTCAGAGCTAAGGAGAGCTCCTGTAGGTCAAGAGTCAGGAGAAGAGAAGACAATAAAAGAAGCATTTTTAGACACATCTCACGTATCAGTGTAATAGCCCTCCAAGAGCATTCAGCCTGGAGAAGGGAAGAGCTGGCTACATTCTCTAGCAGCTGTCCAAGTGGGGAGTTAACTCTATTAACCTGTTTTCTTTGTAGTGTTCAATGTAATGAACCTTACTGGGGAAGTACTAAAACAGTAGTGGTCTCAGTACGCTTCTTCCTTTGCTCTTAATGTGAGGATCTAGATTTCAGAGGCAATTTCAACCAGGAATGAAACATTTTTTAAAGACTTCAGCACTATTTCAAAGACTGGTTAAACGATTTAAGGACCTGCTAATCACAGTGAAACTAAGATTTCCCGGATTCCTTTTGAAAATGACTGCGGGCCCTACAGCATTTAGATTCTTCCAGAAACCTTAGTGTGTGCAGTAGTACTAGGCACAAAGATTTGGGATTCACCACTGTATATGTATATATAATATCTTAAAATGAAATGAATCAATAATGCCATTCCCAGCATTGAGCAAATGCAGTTTTCATACGAGTGCATGAAAAAAATAGAAAAATTTCCAAAATACAGACCAAATTCCTTTTTTAAATCTGCTGCTAGAATGCTCCGAATATTTTATAGGGCTGAAACTCTGAACTCAACAGTTTTTGTAACATATATTTGTATTGAATGTTTTTAAATTAAAGATCATTCTGTGGGCCCTTCTCTCTACAATGATGTTAGAACTCCTTCTGGAAAATAATAGTTATCACTGAGTGACCTTGCAGTGCCTAGGCAGATAAAAGCCCTTTAAAATAGTACTGTATGTGTACATATGAATGTGTACGCACTTATTTTGTATATACTGATATATTATTAAACACCCATATTTACACACTGGCAAATAGAGAGAATGAAATTTGTGCTAATTCCTGCAAGGTTTAAAAATAAGTAAAGCTCTCAAATGCTCCCTTCTGGAAGAACGTGTGACAGGGCAGCTGCAGGCTCTGGGTCTTCTGCACCCGCAGGAGCCCCTGTAAGGAGAAGTGCAGGACTGCTGCCTCTGGCCGCACAGGAATCCCTGCCAGAGCAAGGATTGTGTGCTTAGTAGAGGGTGGCTGCCTAAAATAAGTACACGGCTGCTTTAGGTTTTAAGTTTGATACAAAGGTGGCTGGATAAACGTCTCTTGCTTCTCTTACACAGAAAGCCAGAGTGAGTGATGCTGCTTGGCCTTTCAACCTATGAATCCCAGCTTCTCCACCTCACAGCACTGCAAGTGACAGGTCGGGACGGACTGTGACGTTCCCTCCAAGCCGTGAGCTTGGCTGGGTCATCCATTTCAGGATGATTTGTAAGGCGACCGACTAACGCCTGGAGCTTTCAGAGGTTGTCCTCAAGACTAGAAAAACATACTGGTGTCAGTCAGTTTGCTCTCTAAATGCAGCGTCATCTTTCCCTTCCCATCATATTCCGTTCGGTTCATTGGGCTTCATATGCAATATAGCAAGGGGAGAGCAGACCCTTTAGGATGATGACAAATCCTCATACCAGTTCTGCTAGAATAACTCAATGAATTAGATAGGAACGCCAGAGCAAAACATAAGCTTCTTTGCCCTTCTTTTACTGGGCCAGAATGTGACAGAGATTTATTCCTTTCTACAGCTGATAATCAGATGGGAACTTGGAGAAAAATAGCTGTTTTCTTTAGAACCTTATAAATAAAGCTTATAGCTAGCATGGCTATAAGCTTTATTTCTGTGTGCCCTGCTGAAATTCAATATTGAGCAAGAAATTAACCTTGTCTCCCCTTGCAAATGTTAAGCATCTCTAAACCATGTTTTCCAGATATAAGGTTTTTTAACCTTATTTTCAGGTTGGCTGCGTAAAACATTTTCTATCATTTCTTTTTGTGGCTCCAGTCTGACCTGTATTGTTCATTTGTCCCTCATTATCACAGCCCGTTTTAGTCTCAGATGCACTTTTGCTCTAACTGACCTGATGTGATCTCAGGTTTGTTGCCATACATTATCTATGCCAGAAAAGCTGAATCACAAAGCTGAAATTACAGACTCTGTGTCAGATTCTGAAATCCATGCCGGAGCACAATCTGGCAAAACTAGCCAGCTGCAAATTTTCCCAGTATGGAGGCAGGAAACATTTAGTAGACATAAGACCAGTAGATCCACCATTCCGTTACTCTCCTCTCCTGTCTCCAGTGTAGAGGACATACTGTAGAAAAAGAAGACAAGTGTGTTTTTTCTCTGCTATAGTAGTTCTCTCTTTGGATCCCTCAACAATCCTTAAGTAATAGTTGTGTTAGCTGCATAAGAAAAATGTTGTATGGATGATCCTTCCAAGTAACTACGCCAGACTGTGTTTTTCTTTCCTAAATTGGAAGTTAAATGTGCTGGTAGAAACTCAGTAGGCCCTTCTTCCCAAGGAACCAACACTCTGCTCGCTGTCTGTATATCTCTGTGTGAGGCAGCAGCTTTCAGCTCCAGCCAGGCTGGGAATTCAATGGGAGCTGGGAGCTGTCGCCTCTCGAGGATGTTCTGACACCCAGCTTTCAGCCCCGCACCCAGCCCAGTTGTGTCCCACTCAAATCCTGCCCATGTGCTGTCTTTGGCACTGCGCGTTGCTAATACCAGAATTTGGTCACTTCAATGACTCCTCAAATGTTTGCCAGGACCCATTTTGGTGCAGATCAGCCCATAGAATCAGAGAGATATAACTAATTCCTTGATAATCTCCTTCCACATCCCTGCTCCAGTCTGCTGTGTTGAGCAGAGCTTAGACACTGGGGCAAATTATGCCCAGTGTTTTTAATGTTAGTGGAGCTCATGCAACGCTATTTACAAAAATTGTTCTACTTGGAAAAATGACTCCATAAAAATGTCATGGCAGGATTTCCTGTTTATTGTCTCTCAGTGATTACCATCACAAATCTGCCAGTTTGCCAAGTGGAGAGATATTTATTTGTTTTCAGGTGGCAACCCTGCAAACCCAGCCTGGAATCCGAAAAGCAAGCCGGGGCCTCTCTGGCTCTTGTACCACCAGCAATGAAGATTCCACACTTGAATCATAATCAACACTTCTGGTGATGGTGCATGAGCCAGAACAGATGCCAGACCCTTATTGCAGAGCTCAGTTGAATCTGCAAATCTAAAAAATACGGAATACCTATTTTGGTCTGTAAAGAAAGCTGATCTAAGTCTGCTAGGCATGAGCTGCATACGGGGAAAAATTACATTCTTCTGCAGTCACTTTCAGGGCAGAATAACACACTAAGCTCTCTGCATAGTCACTTCTCAGAGATCAGGCTTTATCTACTGTCAGGTTTTATCTAGCTCTTAGGTTTGGATAGAGAAAGGATTGAGGCTGGAGAGTTTGGGGGACATGCTGAAAGGTGAAGGGACAAGGTTGGAAGAGCAGAGGAAGAGTTGTGGGAACAGGATCAGGAGGAGGAAGAGAAGGGTTTGGGGAGATTTTTGGAATAGCAGGAAGAGAAAGGAAGGTAGAAAAAACGGAAGGAAGGGTAAGGGATGGTGAAAGGAAGAAAGGCATTTGCTTTTGGTGCAGAGCTCTTGCAGACAGCAGGCACACGGAGAATTTCTACCTCTCTGTGGAACCATGTCCCAAACTGGGGTCATGAGAGAGCTTGCTAATCATGTCACTTTAACTTTCCTGTTGGTTTGTAGAAGTTAACTGTTGCCTGAGCATGAATCCTCCTGTACTGGAAGGATGACAAGGTCTCAGTAAGTTTTTACTGCCAGGATATAGGAGGTGGGTGACAGTGAATGCAGTGGCTGCATGGACCCAGATCAGGAGAGCACTAACATCTCTACTGGGTTATGGGGATCCTGAAGACCTGTAGGATATGAAAACCTACAGACCACCACCGCCACCACCCACCTCTGCCTGTAGGAAATGAAAAAGATGCCCCTTGCTTATAGGGCAATGGCTGAAATCTTCTCTCTCCTCCTGTCTAATTGCAACACACTCCCTGCATGATCAGCCGCCCTATTCTGCCACTGACAAGCTGGTTATGGTTTTATAGAGTCTAATGGGTTATGAATAGGGCTGTGGCTGTAACCTGCAGTAGGTCCCAGGCTTTATTTCAGTTGAAGCAAAATCTTTTGCAAACACTGTCTCCAGACTCTAAACAGGGCTTTACTGAACACAGATAATTCTCGTTCTTGCCCATTCCCCCGTCTGCCCACCTAACCCCCCACTGCCGGGGAAATAGCATGTCCTCCCTCACACCCCAGGGGCTCAGGAGGAGGAACATGCTCCTTATCTCCAAGGAAGGAGTCCTTACCTGAAAAGAACTGGCTGATGGAGTGAGGCAGAAGGGTGAGGAAGGCCAGTGGATTTGCAAAGGACATGGAGAGTGCAACAGAAATGTAAGCCATGCCTGCCACCAGGGAGTCGAGGCAAGCCAGGGAGGTGTAGAGGCAGAACATGATGAAGTTCCGCATGTTCCTGCTCCCGATGCAGTTCCCTGTGAAGAAACAGTGGTGGTCATGCCTCTGGGTGACTCTGGCACACAGTCTACAGAAGTGAGTGCTGGGCAAGGCTGAGCCAGGGGACCTGCTTCCATCCAGCCAGTCTGCCACCACTTCGGCTCCTTCACCCAAGTTTAAGCCCTTGCCCAAGTCCTCAGGGGAGCTCTGGATCACAAGCACGTAGTTGCCCAGGGCATTAGCTGAGAGGAAGAGGAAGAGGGCCCCATGCAGCAGAGCAGGAGAGAGAAGTGAGGTGGTGGAAGGGTCTCTGAACATGCTGGGGATGAAGAGAAAGATCTGGAGGACGAAGGTCACTAGGGAGATGCACAAGAAGTAGGCTGGAGCAACAACATTGAGCAACCTGAGAACTAGCATTGCGGATTACATTCCTGCAGGGGAAAGCGAGGAGAGAACAAGCATCACCGCTTCGGCTGCACACTTCATCCTTCCATTTCCTGCCGGATCTCCGGCCCCGCTCGGCTCCGGAAAATGCCCTCCGGGGGCCGCTCTGCCTCGCCGCCGCCCCACGACACCGGCAGGGGCCCGGCGCCGGGGCAGGTCGCGGGGCGCCCCCG